TTTAGATCGTTATAACCATAGTTCGTTATAAACACAAAAATATGCTGGTCGGGACAAAAAAATAACAGTTCGATATAACCGAGTTCGTTATAACAGTAGTTTCTTGAATATAAAAATCCTGATGAAACTCTTGTGTGTTTCCCTCTTGCACTACGTAATGGAATACACAATATATACAACTCAAAAAGTAAAGAGCCACACAATCCTTTCATATGACTATATATAGTCACATGGCAGACTAACTGTACCGAGTGAGATAAAACGAACCTGAATCCTTGACTATTATAAGCAGTAGCCCCACCAAACATTCATGCTTTGTGAATCACATCCGTTAGCTGTTAATGTACACAGATGTCTTAAAACGACTCGTGCATCATATTTTTTAATTTTTTAAACTAAAATAGAATAATTGTTCCATTGTAGCAAAATGGTCGTTTTTTAGTTTTATACTCAGTGAGTAAGCCGTTAACATGCATCAGAAGTTATTTCAGGAACCTCACCAAGACCCAAGTCTAGCTGGAATTCATTCAACGTTAAAATGCATGGAGTTTCATGGAAGATGTACACATGTACTGCTCGACAGAAGTAAAGAATACCCGTTTTGAAAAATACCTAGTACTGTAATTGGTCTGACAGAATAACTTAAGTCAAATGAGAAAATCGGGCGTGCTTTAACCTTTTTTAGTAGTACAATATTAGGCCTAATCTTGTTCTCGATGTTACAAAAACTTTCATACTCGCGTAACACATTGTGGTCTTTCTAAGTTATGATGGGGCGGTGGGGTAGCCTAGTGGTTAAAGCGTTCGCTCGTCACGCCAGGGTTCGATTCCCCACCTGACTACAATTTGTGGAATACGTCCCCGCCCTCCCCTCGCAGGTGGAATATTGCTAAAAGTAGCGCAAAACCATTCTCACTCACTCACTTTATGATTCTGCTATCATTTTTATTTACTTCAACGATGAACAAACATAGCAATTTTAATGCATTGGTAAAATCCAATCCATATAGGTCCATATAGTATAAGTAAGTGCATATCGGCTAACGCGGTATATCGACGGATCTTCAAAGGAATATAGAACACACACAGGTACAACAGGTCATGTGTCTGTAAGTAAGTAAATATTACAGGTATTTCCCCAGGTGAGTCAGAGCGCCAGGTAGCGGTTACCTGTTTTGCCGGCGACCGTCCAGGTATATACACTACAGCGCTGTGACCCATCAGTCTACACCGGAGTGTTTATGACCTATATGTAACAATAACACCCTGTTTTGAACATTACTTACGCGTTACCTACATATGTAAACGGATATTAATGTTAATTTATGATAAAGAAACACTTGTCGTGACAGGTTTACATTTAGAGGTGAAGTAGGTTTGCTTTCACTGTACAACATGCTGAATGATTGATAGTCAACGGTCTTTCTGTTGATATCTCAACCGAGGCTAACTTGTGTGTACGGGAAAGGGTGATTGCTTTGTACATGTTACGGAAAGAAGCGAATTGGGTATAGTGTTATGATTTGTTTGTTTGTTTGTTGTTTAACGGTGCAATCAGCAATATTCAAGCTATATGGCGGCGGTCTGTAAATAATCGACTCTTGGTCCCGATCCACAAAGCGTTCGTAAAGTTACGACTTGTAACGAGTTTATCGTAGGTTTACAAATGCCGTAGCGCTACGAACGCTTTGAGGATCGAGAACCTTGGCCATACAATCCAGTGTGAAGTTGAAGGGACCTACAAAATACTAGTCGCGTCTGGATCAGACCGTCCAGTGGTCAACAGTATGAACATCGATCTACGCAGTTGAGGGATGATTTATGGTGATACAAATTGGACAGTAGAGACAATATGCACCTTTGTCTATATCAAGTCACCACATTCACATATGTTTCTTCCAAGAAGTTAATGATTACCTAATTCATTAATGCTTATTTTATTAAAATGCCACTGGTGAACTATAATAATATAAAAGAATCGTGTGTCCTTTGAGCAGTATATACAATGCCATGAATTTTCGTTCCCATTCTATAGTATGGTGGCTCATTCGGGCCATCGCTTTATCGCCCTGAAAAATATAGGCGACATCGCGACCATACTATAGCTATATTGCCTTTAAAACATGTTTACGGCGCCAAACTTACTTTGTATGACAGTGCGATCTTAGATCTTTTATTTGTTTTATTCGAAATAATGCTATATACAGCCAAACACCGCTGTGTCGAAGTTGAAGGGACCTGAGAAAATACTTCGACTTATCCGCGGTTCAACACAATCGAGACCCGTGAAGGTCCGGGTTAGAATATTGATCTTCAGTAACCCATGCTTGTCGTAAGAGGCGACTCACGGGATCGGGTGGTCAGGCTCGCTGACTTGGTTGATACTGGATTGTCTGGTCCAGACTCGATTATTTACAGACCGCCGCCATATAGCTGGAAAATTGCTGAGTGCGGCGTAAAACTAAACTCACTCACTCAACACAATCGAAAAAGGATGACTACAATAGGAAAACTCAGGGCCTTTATCTTCGCGACAACCATAAGCAAGACACATCAATGTTTGACTCAACGATGTTTGAGTTGTGTTCGCCAATGTTAAAGGTAAACTGAACACTGAGCGAATGCGAAATGGCGAGGGGTGGTGAGATAGCTTAATGATTAAAGCGCTCGTTACGCCGACGACCCAGGTTCGATTCCCCAGGTACAATGTGTGAAACCCATTTCTGGTTTCCACCGCCGTGATATTGCTGGGAGATTGCTAAAAGCGGGGTAAAACTAAACTCACATGCCACCGTGTATCGAATGGCCCTATTGTACAGTGAGTGAGTGAGTGAGTTTAGTTTTACGCCACTTTCAGCAATATTCCAGCAATATCACGGCGGGGGACATCAGAAATGGGAATCACACATTGTACCCATGTGGGGAATCGAACCCGGATCTTCGGCGTGACGGGCGAACGCCTTAACCACCAGGCTACCCCACCGCCCCCCTATTGTACAGACACACTGGGGTTTCCTATTGGTGATCGAGTCTGGGCCTCACAAACCAGTGGTTGACAGCATGGCAAACAGTCCTAGTAGTAGCATGACACACAATCAGTCACGTCAAGTCCTTGCACTCCAAACGTTGCCATCGATAAGCCACCATCGGATTTGGAGACCAATTCTGTACCAGAAAACAGCTTGGGAAACACCACCTAAGACGCAATGGATCCCGTCAAAATAGAAATAATTGCCCCACTCACTCACTCACTCACTCACTCACTCACTCACTCACTCACTCTCTCACTCTCTCACTCACTCACTCACTCACTCACTCACTCACTCACTGCAATATGTTCTTGGTTTCTTGCTGACATACAGTACCCTGTAAGTGGCAAATGACTAACTTCTTCAAAACGGTGTATAACATAACTCACTCACTCACTATTATGTTAATAATGTGTTTGCCCCACTCCGGAATATTCCAAGATCTGAACCAACAATCTATGGACTTACATGAGCATTGATCCACATACTAAGGATACAAACATGAATCACCCGATCTAAATAACACTGCTTGTTATAACTATGGGTCACGGATACAGTCCTTGTTTTGATGACGACGACGACGATGGTGATGATGTGATTGTGGTGGTGTGGTGACTGTCACCGGTTCTTAAAATCCAGTCAAGTCATGATCTTTGGGTTGTTGTTTTGTTTGTTTATTCCCACACCATATAAATGCCTAATGAGGGCTAGTTGTAAATATTCCAGTCTGGACCAGACAATGAAGTGATTGCCATCATGAGCATCGATCGACACAATTAGCAGCCCGGCCACCACATCCATTCAGAAGAATCTTACGACAAGCATAAACATTGATGGGCATATATTCTTACCCTAGAAATGGGACTCCCGTCAAGGTTGTTGGTGGTTGAGAAGCATGGGTTAGTTAGAAACAACCCATACCAAAATGAAATCACCACTGTCAACCTAATTATCCAAGGTATGTACCACGTGTATATCATCTGCATATTTCCCTGTGTGCCGAGGGTGTCACATAAAACCCTCACGACCGAGGACCCCTCCCTTCATTGTCCTCCCGAGTCTATCGGCGTCCATCTGACCATGTTTAGCAATCGCCCAACCCATAGACGGATTCCCCAAACACGACTCAATAGCTCTTGGAAATCTCTCAATGGAAATATGTTTGACCATGACCCTAGGTGGACACATTTGTTGATATTTTCGTATCGTGAATGTTTTGCTTGTAAATAAACCATCGTCCACTAACGCTAAGTCTGGGTTAGACACCTGGCGTGTGTTTTCACCGGCCCTGTTGTCCTCAGGTATACTTGGCAAACGTTTTGATAGATCTTGTAACCTATTTTGGAAATGAATGTGTAGAATTCTACAATTTTAAACATCTATTTCAATAACATCTCTTTCTTGAGTTTCATTTGAAGTCTTTGTGGAACGTAGACTACAGCAACGACATTAAGAATTTATGAATCATAAACATTGTCTTGAATTTATTGCGTCAACAGTTCCAATAGGCGTATAGTTATGTTATTGGGCGAAAGAAATGTAGAAAAGAAAATTTTAAATTTCACTGTCAAACATCACTGCCTCTTTTAAGCTAAAATCGGTGTAAAAAATGTTGGGTAAACGAACCGCCTTCATTCCCACACAATACATAGGAACCATATGGCACGTCCACCACATTGTATTCATTAAACGAGTTTCATTGTTGTTTTATAAACTGTAAGAGGGATTTTAAATTTTATTTTCGTTGCTTTAAAGTTTAATGCCCTTATAAGTAAGTCAGCCTGTATGTTTCTTTTGAGTACACCTAATTATAAGCTATTAGATATTTGCTGAAACATTAAAAGGCGTATTTCATCGGAATATTTCTGTACCATAAATGAAACCTGCGTATGTTATTCCAGTCGGATATGTGATTATGGAATTGTATTAAATCCTCAATTTTATTGGACCCGTGAATTGATCTTCAGTAACCCATGCTTGTCGAAAGAGGCGACAAACGGGGTCGGATGGTCAGGCTCGCTGACTTGGTTGACACATGTCATCGTATCCCGATTGCGTAGATCGATGTCCATACTGTTGATCACTGGATTGTCTGGTCCAGACCCGATTATTTACCGACCGCCACCATATAGCTGGAATATTGCTGAGTGCGGCGTAAAACTAAACGCACTAAACTCACCAACTCACTGAATGACTCATCCAGAAAATCTTCTCCACGTGTGCCCGCAGCATTCAATGACTTTAGTGAAAGTAATGCATCATCGTGTCTTGTAACGTTTGCTCTTAAACGTCAGTAGAGGTATTTAGGTAAAGACTGATTGATTATTAAGCGTGGTTTGACAGTATTGTTGTGTTAAGAGTGTATGATAAGCTGTAGAACGACTTCGTGTCTGTTAGAGGTGTTCATGAGTCACCGACAGACGCTCGCTTGCTTGAACCTTCGAACACCAATAAGATCAAAAATGCTTGCAGACATTACGCTCTAAGATAGCCTTTACGTGCACAGAGACATCTCCCCTATATGTTTCTCTCTCTGAGATATACCCGATTGTTTTTAAATGTATCACAGTGTTACCGTTATGAGCGACTGACGTTTCCGTTTTGACAATATACTTCTGTTTTGCTCACAAACCGTTATCTGTTACTCTTCCCCGACTTCACGGGGCGGTGGGGTAGCCAAGTGGTTAAAGCGTTCGCTCGTCACGCCGGGTTCGATACCCCACATGGGTACAATGTGTGAAGCCCATTTCTGTTGTCCCCCGCCGTGATATTGCTTGAATATTGCTAAAAGCGGCGTAAAACCATACTCACTCACTCCCCGTCTTCACATCCCATGCAATAGTGTCGAGCAGTATAACTTCCCAAACACCTGGCCGTACCTTGCAAAACACAAACCAATCACGAACACACGAACACACGTTAATGCACCTTAAGCTTGTCTCCTCGCGCCATGTACTCTAATAGTGGACAAATATCAAAATATTGATAGTGCCGCTTGTTTTCGCTACCAATTTGGCAGCAAAATATCCACACTGGATATAGGCATACACCCTCTTTGCACAGTTGTGTAACTGCGACAGGAACGTGACGCGTCGTCATGGCGTACGACGACAGCATTACGGAACATGATGGTGATACGGTTTGATTATTGACCAATGCCTGTCCCGCCTAGTGTTTCATGTTGCAACGACGCACTGTTGTATACACAGCTTATACACCTGGCGGGGCTAACTTTAGATACAGCCACCCACTAGGTATATATGCATTACATTTAACATATTTACAACCGATTGATTTTAAGTTTTCACGTGTATTGTACGATTACAGGAAGAACTAGTGTTTGTATTTCAATTATGTTTTTATTCGAAAGCACATCCCATATACATTGCGGGCAAAGATAATATACACCCATGTTTTACGGAGGTTAAATGAAACAAACAACAACTATTTTTTATGGTAATGTAATAATATGGATGTCATAGCTGTGTATTAAATATGGGTATTAAATACATTGTATTTAATATGGGTATCATAGCTTTGTTTTGGGCCTTAGGTTTTCGTTGTTTTTGCGACTGTTTACAGCATACAACGTTTTGGCTATCGATATCAACAGAAGGCCTGTGTTCGAAATATATACATCGAACTTAAGCGGCATTGATAGCTTGACCGAGGTAGTGAGGGTAATGAAGTTTATTCCCACTCGGCTCATCTCGACGCAGTGAGATGTTGGACGTGCAAATCGTGTGCATAGGGCAATCACGTGGTACAACGAACCTGTCGCAGTCATGAACCCTATATGACCGTTTTGGGTTTTGTGTCTGCCTGTAATCATAGTGGGCTCTTTTACTATAAAACACAGAAAAATGTGTCCTCGAAAACAACTGTCGTGCTTATCGAACAACAACGACGGAATCTTTCATCGTTACATGATTCAGTATCACTACGCGTGTCTGCCCGATGTATCAAGTCGGTAGAGGGACCGAGAGAATCCGAATGCATTCAAGCCGAAGCAGTATCACACCTACTATCAGAGTGTACCTCAGCAAAATTCAGCCTCGGTCTACGTCGCATATTCTGATTTCTTCACTTCTGTTGGGAGCCTTTGAATGTTGGAATATGACTATCGTATTGGCATGAATATTGGAATAAGTACATATCCTATCCTTTTTGGCAAGACTACTGTGCTGACGTATTCCTTTAAGCTCATTGTACCATGGTCTAGTACATACAGCGTTTGCCTGGAGAGCCGAGCTCAGTGCTTGAACCTTCTGGACGCGTCCCACCAGTACACAGTTAAAGACCTACTTATTACACTGTAGAGGGGCGGTTTGGTAGCTTAGTGGTTTCAGCGTCCGCTCGTCACGCTGAAGACCTCGGTTCGATTCCCCACATGGGTACAATGTGTGTAGCCCATTTCTGGTGTCCCTACCGTGATATTGCTGGAACAGCACCAACAGCGGCGTCAAACCTCGGGGAGTGACAATGACCTTGGCCTTGGTTTACGTCAGGAAGTTCCTGTCAGAGCCTTTTTGAAACTGTACATGAAACAAGGGTAGGCTAGATAGATATACTATACAAGTTGGTTTGGCAGTAAACTAAACGGGGTTTGAAAGTGAGTGAGTGAGCTTCGTACCTTGTGTTTTCTTATGGGACATTGTGTTTCTATCCACTGAAGAAATAGCTTTTACTTTTATATTTAACTTAAAATACAAGCCATGTATATTGTCACACTTGTTTAAAATGTTTTAAATGTATGTAGTCCATTTCCACTCAAGCGTGAGTCCACTCACTCACTCACAGATCGGTGTAACACTATTTGGAAAAACCATTGACGTCACCTAAGAATCTCTCCAAGAGGGTTCAGATCCCAACGTTCACAGTACTCCAGCCCTCTCTTCCCCTTTTTTTTAGTAGCCCGTGTCAGGAGGGGTAACAGAGACTCGCGGCAATCCATGAACCAAATTAACGGAATCTCAGACCAGCAATAATGTTTAATTTATTTCTTTTCATTACAGTTTAATCGTTCCGGGGATTTCAAACCCAACATGCGCTGTACCGAACATCAATGGCTTTCACAGCAAATTTGCTCAGCTGATAAAAACAGCAGAATCTTTAACAAAAACACCAGAATCTTAAATCTCAACGTTTATTTTTTACTCCACGTTTCGTCGTTGGACAGACGATGCAGTTTCGAAACATATTTACGGTCTTTCATCAAAGCAGGTTTTCAATGTAGCGAATTTAGTCTCGCAAGTAAATTTATTCAGAGTACGTCAGTAGCTTGAAAGGGAGGCAACACATTGGTGAAATATGTCGGATGGTGTTTACAGAGAAACATGAGTTGGCTGACATTGTCCCCTCCTGGGGGTCACGGTTAGCGGGTTACTTATAGACACTGGTCAGTGTGACCTGATACAAACACTCACCCTTAAAGTGTTCAACCCTAAGAACTGGCGAAATTTACGACCTCAAAAAATCTAAAAGAAAGAAGACAATGGGAATGAGCAAGTGTTGTTTTTAGCCGTTACAGCAAAATTTGAGCAAGATGACCGCGGGTTGATGATATTAATGATGAACATTGAAGTACCACGTATTCTTTAATAATGCTCATGGATGTTGAGACATCGTTCAGGTTTACAAAAATGTAACCAGGTGTTAAAGATTAAAAAATATTCAATACACGTCTGGGCTTGTGCGCTGTCGACATTTGTAAACTCATTCATACAAACGCAAACACACATTTTTCAATAAAACAGAGGACCCAAAAAGCCTGTTTTGAAAGTTAATAGGGACGCATTTCTTTAAACATCAAACAAAAGATACATTTTTGACAATCTACATATATTTACGTATCACCCCCCTTAACAGTTCCCACGAAGTTGAGAATCCCCGTGGTTTGAACACAATGGTTTGTATCGTCCAAATACCTATGTGTTATGCGTGTATGTGTCCACCCATCTACTGCCTTGCTGTTTCATGACCCACAGACGCACACGCCCGATTTGTGTATGCTTGAACCGTAGGACCACAAGTTCAAGTTCGGCTACCACGGCTGGGCGACACGCAAACATGAAGATTATTCTTTAGATTAGGGGCGAATTTCTGAAGAAACTCATCAGTCCATATGCCGCGCCAAGAATTCAAACAATTCCAACAGAGGGGAGAGAAACCAGCAAACAAAGAACCCGACCTGGTGCTGGGAGAGCCGTAATGTCAAACGGAGTCCTAATAGAACTTTGTTATTCGCAGAAAACTGTGAAGTTTCTCGGCGACGTCGATTACGACACGTTTTGTACCATATTGGAAGAGGCAAACACACAGAGTAACAGGAGTGTGTGGCAAGGCAGGGTTTGTTTTCAAGTCAGGGCGCAACCGGTTAGTTTCAAACTTACATGTACACGCGAAAGAAATCCAAACATCATTTATGTGGACATGTGTCCAAATCATTTCCGTCAACAGAAAAGGCCACGTTAATTGTTGGCTCATTGTACAAGCTGTTTGCAGTGTTTTTGTGATAATAATTTAAGCCGACCACAACTACTGGTCACTGAGAATGAGTGCCCCAGAAGCTACTTCTGCATTTTTTCTAACAGTTATAGAAGTTCCTATTTATCTCATGCAAATAGCGTGAGTGAGTGAGTTTAGTTTTACGCCGCACTCAGCAATTTTCCAGCTATATGGAGGCGGTCTGTAAATAATCGAGTCTGGACCAGTCAATCCAGTGATCAACAGCATGAGCATCGATCTGCGCAGTTTGGAACCGATGACATGTGTCAACCAAGTCAGCGAGCCTGACCATCCGATCCCGTTAGTTGCCTCTTACGACAAGCATGGGTTACTGAAGGCACATTCTAATATTCTAACCCGGACCTTCACGGGTCTGAGGCAAATAGAAATTGTATATGGATTCTTTTTTCTTTCTTCTTCTTGCGAATTGATAAGTATTGTTTATCGGTAGATAGTAGAGATTGTGTGA